TCGGATTCGTATCAATTTTGGCTACGCGTCACTTAGTTGTCATTTGGTTGATGTACGGTGCTCAAAGTGAAATCAAGTGCGAAAAATATTTCAAAGATTCCCAGACAAGCAAACAAGGAAACTGGAACCCAACAGGAAATAACCCGGTAGGTCTCTGAGGTACTGCTAGTTATTTTAATTCTTTTTAAAGTATTATGTCTGCTCGTCCTTATTTATTTATTTTCTACCACGGTTCATGGTTTTCTTTATGCATAAGAAACCCACAAAAATCCGAAACCTTGCCCTTTTTATTGCCTTTGTCTTCTTCTCATCAATCAGCTCCAACAGGGGCTGCTTTGACCTGCTTCCTTCCGTTTTCATCCAGGTTCTGCCTTCAACATTCGGAAAAAACTTCGGCCAAAAGAATTCAAGCACAAGTAAACCATGGCTGGAAGGAATCTTTACCCTTATTCCTCTTAGGTTGCAGATCAACCTTCAATATGATTTCCAGTCCACACCTCAGAGTTGACTTTCGATCATACCTGGTGTCTTCCAAGGGAAATGGTGGTTATTACATCGTATGCGACAGTTGCATATTCAACCACCCCGTCAGCGAACACCGCTAACATACCTAACCCCTCGATTAGCCGAAAGTTCGCATGTTTTCCTCAGGGGAGACGTTCGCGCCCCACTGCAACCTCAATACAGCGGCCCACATAGGATGCCGCTACGGTAAGACAAAGCCTAAGTAACAGAGTGAAATGGTAAACGTGAGACCGTCAGCATTGATTGGCTCAAACCGGCGCACTTGGAGGAAACAGCAACCCCCACCAATAGTCCCTCACTCGTTTTTCCCTTCGCAATACCCACCCCAATAATTCCTACTCTCTCCACTCCAATAACCTCCGCAACACCCTTGGAGCAAGCACCTTCTCCTGACCCTTCCCATCGGACCACTAATCAAGGGGGAGTCGTTCAGCTAACTGTACGTTTTGCCCTGTAGGACGTTTCTAAACTAGCCCAAAAACACATTTAATCTGCGAGATATATACCTTTTGTTTCACCTACTGATATAAATACGCATGCAAATCAAAAGCCAACAAAAACCAAAAATCCTCTTATAATTTCTTATTGATTTTCTAACATGGTTCATGGTTTCCTGTATGCATATGAAACCTACAAAAAAACAGAAAGCTTACCCTTTTTATTGCCTTTGTCTTCGCCTCATGATACAGCTCCAAGAGGGACTGCTTTGACCTGCTCTCTTCCGTCTTCTTCCAGGGTCTGTTCTCAACACTCGGAAGAGAACTTTGGCCAAGAAAACGCAGCGACCTCGAAACTCGAGAAGAAAACTTCGGCCAAGAGAACTCAATAGTAATGATTGACACGTTTACCAACACTCCCATCGTTGCAGCAAAAAAAGGGTATCGAAGACCATTTTTGACAGCCCCGGTCAGCTTTTTGCTAGCTCGTGCCCAGCTGAGACTGTTCTTAATTTCTATTTTCTGAAGACAAACCAAAAAGGGGCAAGTTACGAAAAGACGACGGGCCAGCACACGCCATTCTATGGCACTTTCGTTTCCCTACATTCTTCTTGTGAACCAGCATTCTCTGCCGCAATAACTGGGACTATTTTGAACGTTGCTTCCCAATAATTCCGTGAAAAGAAAACTAGCGATCCAAATAGTCGGACTGGTAAATCAAAGTGATTGATGCATGCACCCATATCCTAGGCTTTACATCGCCTTCCAAGGAGGACCTCTGTATGACACCAGCTAACTTCCATTTCACATTTACCCTTCCTCCTTCCCATTTTATTGTTTTACTACACCAAGACCACCTATTTGGTCAGTGCGTGTGTTTTCACTTTTCGCACGCTTGCTCATGCTTTCGCATCTCCTCTTTTGCTCTGAAGGTTATCACAATACAACCGTCCTTGGTTCAGTGAATTCTCTCATTCTGCTTTTGTATGAACGCTCGTATTTGATATAAACGTATTAGCTCGGGATACCGATGGGCCAGCGCCTACGGTATCGTTTCGTAGATTTCTAACCGTTGTAGAAATTCGTAGTACAGAAGCAGGTGTTTATTTTCACCGCACCTGGTTACCATATCGACAGCAGTGGGCCGGGTGTGCCGTGAGAACTAGGTTGACTTTGGGCAACCTGACTACCAACTGATTAGAGAAGGAAAATGTGCACCTCAACACATGCTTGTCGCTTTGATCTTCATTAATGGATGTATTTGTGAAAGTCCCGCAACGAGTGAGGTCCTTGGAAGTGACGCATAAAATTCGCCCCGCTAAAGATTACATTAGGGGGAATCAGACCCCCGGCTGGATGCTATCGTTTAGTCTGTTGCTCACACGAGTAACACCGTATGCGCAAAATATATTATTCAATAACTGGAAGTCATATATGATTAAGAGAATCCTTCATGAGAGGACGTTTCTCCTGGTAGTAAGGGCAGAGGTCATAAAGTACCTACCGTGAATGACATTTCTATGCGCAATATTTGTTGCCT